CTAAGTTTTGGAGTTTACAAGGCAACATTGTGGATGGTGTTTGAGGAAAGCTCGCAATGTTTATGATAAAATGTGATTATCGAAAATAGGATAAAGGCATCGTAAATGCACCCAGCAATTATCCCATTTCGCCACACAACAAAAGATATCGCCACCGAACAAAAGCAAACGGTTTGAACGATGATTGAGAAATATCAGGCGATATATCGCTAACATAAACTGGAAAGATCAACAGCAATGAAAATACAAAAGGAACAAGAATGAAAAACCTTTACATTAGTCGCAGATTCAAAGCGACAACAACAAGGAAAGAATTTAAGACTTACCGATGAAGAGGCCACTGAGGCTGGCGGTTGATGGTGTGGTTGCTGCTGGTGTAAAGCCTTGATCTGCTGCTGTTTTTTAATAACATTCGCAGCGTTCGATGATAGATTCATCTGTTGCTGTTGCACCATCGAAACCGTTGCACTAGGATTAGCTGTCGACTGAACTGCGTTCACATTCACGCCAGCACCCAACTTGACGTTTTGCTGAGGTTGAGTATTAATTGTCATCTGCAATCAACATGTCCTTGCCAAAAAACGAATTAATTCATGAACTGGTTGCCTTGCCTCGATTAGTGCCGAAAAGAAGCCGTCCAGATAAATATTCATAAATTGTAGACCAACACTGAAACACTAGAAAATAAACTCAGTAAATAATACCTGCTGTTGTTGATGTCGAACAGTCAAAACAGCCTGCTGCTGCTGTTGCTGCTGCTTTTGTTGCAGTGATGCGCTAGCGGACGTCGCATAATTGTATGATGGTAAAGGACCATTGTTATTATCACTACTGTTCGTATTCGTATTTGAATTCGCACTGGTATACAATTGTTGTTTGGCGGCTATATTTGCCGCTAGCGTATTCACCTGCTGTAGATTTTGCTGCTGCGGCTGGGTTGCTGACGATGAAAATGCGCAAGACTGTTGTTGTTGTAAGCCCTGTCATGATCAGTACTTTAATTCTTATAACAAAAAACAACAATAACATTAAACAACGCATAACGAAGATGCATGGTTGAACATTAACATCACTCACCGCTTGTTGTTGTCTCGCATGGTCTTGCTGCAAGCAACTTGTTGAAATTACTTGCCCATTTATGAGTGCATTTGATGGCGCGTAAGGAGTATGCGTTATGGTATTTCCATAGCCTGAAGGCATCCCAGTATTGTGCCCATTTGATGCAGCCGCTGAAACGCGTTTAGTTGTTGCGTATTATATTCGTTATCATCAATACGAATTCAATCGTAAGAGCATACCGAAAGGTCAGCTGCTAAAAAGGCAGTACTAAAAACTGGTTGCTAACCTTGAAAAATGGAAGCATATCGCATAACTTGCGCAGCAGCTGCAGCATCCTGTTGTGATGGTTGAGCTGCCACCGCTAGTTGTTGTTGATGGTGCTGCTGCTGTTGCTGATGTTGTTGAACAGATGCCGTTGCAGCGGTAGTGGTGACAACCGTTGCACCTTGCTGCGGTTGTTGTTGCTGCGACCATAAGTTGGTGTTACGACACATCTGCACATACTGCTGTTGCATTTGAGCGGTTGGGAAATACGTCGACGATGATGTCGATGGAGCTATTCCAAGCGAGAACGGCGACGAGAGATGATGACCGCTTGGTGCTGCACCATTTGCAGTGATCACCTGCTGTGCATGTGACTCAGACTGCTGCTGCTGCTGTGTTATTGATGTGGCACTGACTTGCTGTGATAACGAATTAATTGACGGTGCAAGCGAAGAATAAGTTGTTGGAGTTGCCGTAACTGTAGAGACAGCTCGATTTTTGGCTGCTGACAGCAATAATAATGAAGCGGCGTTCGTTGATGACACTGACGGTGATTGAGACGATGCGCTGATATGTGATAAGGCCGCAGATGAAGACGGCGGCAGAGCAACAGATGGCACACTGGACTGCTTGGACAGATCTCGTAACGACTTTGCTGTTGCTGTTGCTTGATGCTGTTGCTGTTCTGCGTCCATCGTTCGTTGCTGGGAGTCATGCTGATGAGCCACGGGTGTTTGCTGCTGCAAATGAGTAAAAGGTCGAATGAATTACATGAGATTTATTCTCAATCAGCGAAGTTCATAAAAAGCTGAGGAAGTCATTTCACTCCTCCTATCTGAGGTCCTTGATCTTTCTTGATCTACTGAATCTTTATGCGCTAAAAATTATATCGAATGATACTCTCAGCATAATTTGATACTCCTTTTTTGCCTAACAACAGGGGAAACCGGGCAAATCCAATTTTTTTTAAAACAAAACTCGACGCATTGTAAAGCCACGACTCCTGCATTTTTGAACGCCGCTGAGCGGTGACAAATGGTTCTCTCCCAGGCCACCTGCCCGACTCAAACATGTCTGGTCAGACATTCAAACGGATGGGGCTGGATTTCCAGTCACTTCAACAAGTGGATAGGGATGTTCAGCTCGTGATTTTCTGGGATGCAGAATCAAATTTATCGCGTGACTGATAATTGGATCCCCCGACAAGTGGACTCGCGACGGTTGACCCCGTGCTAGTCAGTCACCGCTAGTCGGTGCGCATGCAGCGGTAAACATGCGCTCGTATCCAACTTAAACGAAGTTTGGGTAACCGACTAGCCCGGGAACAACGATAATTGGAGTGAACACGCACTTGTCGGGGGTCCAATTACCGTAGACCCAATTTATTTGATTTATTCTGATGCAAGATGTCAAAAAAAAAACGCAGAATGCAGTGCCAAAGTAGAGTACTAGGTACTCATGGGTCTTTCCACGGGAATCATTGATTCAGTCAAGCGAAGTGAGCGATAATTATATATTAATTTACAAAGTAACGAAAGTGTGCCTACTTGATCGGAATGGATCAAGGAACAAAGAGTGACGATCACATAAAATGAAAACAGATACGATGAAAGAAGTGCATGTCAAAGATGTGTTTACCTGTTTCACTGATGAAGTAGATGACGGAACTTGTCGATAGATATCATAAGTTGACTGTTGCTGCGCTTGTTGCGATGGTACCACAACAGCAGCACTGTTGAGTGGCTGCATATGCATTGGCTGTTGTTGCATATTCGATGCAGAAGCTCCAGTTGCATCATAACCGCATAACTGATGTTGCTGTGCGTTAAGTGTTGCCGATTGCTGCTGCTGCTGCATCATTGTACCGCCGCTAGCAGAAGCTGCTGCATAATAATCTCTGCCACATGGATACGACGCAAGTGGATTCGAACGCTGCTCTAACACATCGCTACCCTGTTGCTGTTGTAGCGCAATAGACACTCCCGAACTAGTGGCGCTTGTCTGCTCAATTGGTGTTTGTTGCTGATGCTCAGGGAATAACTTGTGCACTTGCATCTGATGCAAATGATGATGCACTTGTACTTGCTGTTGCTGCTGCACATGTAAGGTG